GGTGTTGTGAAGGAGGGAACTTCCTTGTCAACCATTTCTGAACTGATTGGTCACCATGTGATCGGGTGATGATGAATCTGGACACTGAGGAAAAACACAGAGAGGGAGACAGAGCTGGGGGTGTAAGAAGGAGGTGGAGAGAGAAAGAGAAAAAAAAAGAGAGAGAGAGAGAGAGAGAGAGAGAGAGAGAGAGAGAGAGAGCCCGGTACTGATGAGTCAGAAGATTCTGATGTAATCCTGCAGCTCCTCCCTTCATCAGTTCCTCTGCCTGTAGGGCTGCTTCTCAGTGTCCAAACACTTAGAGAATATTGCATTTATAATACTAATTTTTAATAATTAAAAAAAATCTTAATTGTCAGAATAACAAAATAAAAGCTATAAGTATAGAAAGTGATTTGTAAGTGCTTGGCATGTGAGATAAAACTTTTAATTAAGAATGTACAAAGTATAAAAAAGCTCTTTCAGAATGTATTAACTTGTGAAATTTGATATTCATGTGCAAACCTTCCTAGAAAAACTGAAACATTTGAGATAATCAAAGTTTTACTTTCACTAATCTGTTCATGTTACATGTATATTCACTGTTATTTTCTCAGGAACAACTCACATCACTTTTAGTATTAATGCATAAAGTGCTTTCACTTTTAGGTATCCTCTGTTTCATTTTCAGAATGAGCTGTCTGGAAATAATAGAAAAACAGGCCTGAAGCCAACTCACTGTACTTTAGACAACCAACAAGGAGAAAACCAAAAAGGTTTTGTTTTGGTGAGACGGAATATAAAGAAAATGTATTTTTCCCAAAGAATTAATGAAGTTCATTGTTACACAAAGGTTTTAATTTAGGCAGAGATGTGACATCGAGTCAAAATCTGGAATAGTTTTAAATTCTTCTTACCCCTGGGCTGAGTAGTTTATTGCAGTATTTTATTTTTCTGCCTGGAAGAAGAAAAATTCTTCCAGGCAGAAGAATTGCCTGGAAGAATTTTTCCATTGCCTGGAAGAATATATTTATTTATTTATTTTTGCTATATTGGAGATTACTAAATCTCCAGTATAGGAATATTGAAGATATAGTAATATCTCCAATATTGCTATAATGGAAATGTCCAACCATACTCCCAGATTAAATTACTTATTCCAAACTGGTACTTATTTTTATTTGATTTGTTATTGTTTTTTGAAGCTGTCTTTAAAAATGTCTTTGTCATTTGCCATTGTAAACAATTTTACAAATGAATAAAAATAATCTGAATGTAAATCTCCTAGGTCTATTAATTATTATTAATAAACAATAGATTATTTAAGATTAGTTTTTATTTCAGAAAAAAAAGAATTCTCCATGCATTTCTGGAAAAAACAACTTCAGCAACAAAGATAACATCATTAAATTAGATGTAAATTTTTTATGGACTATGTAATGACCTATAGGAGTCTAATTGGAATATACTCAGATACATGTTGTTGTGTATTTTTAATGTTACACAGACTCAGCTGCCCTGAAGGTGAATTCTAACTAAATTTAATTCATATTTCCCTTGCAGTGTTCCTCTTCTGGGCAAACGCATGCGCAGAAGAGGAGTGGTTTATGTTGCAAAATTGACTATGTTTGACAGCAGTATTTCTCTGGGATTGTTTTTTCTGACATTTTTACACGATCTAAAAATACATTTGAAAATTGGAAGGATGGAATATTATATTTGGAGAGAACGAAACCTAAAAAATACGGAAATCACAAATAATTGTCCGTGTCACATGATCAAACCTGACTAATCAGAGCGAGCCAAGTCCAACGGAAAAGTACGTTCATTGTTTGGATGTTTTGCCAATTTTACCTTTTATATCTGATAAAGATACGATCAAAACGCCGCGGGAAATGGATGTAGCCTTGAAGCTCTGGGAGAACAGACGGAGTGTGGATACGTTTTATCGTGGTTTTGATGAAACGCCACGTGTTCAGGTTTGATGAAGTGTGCAGATCCGAATCGTTTCATCACATGACTCCCCTCCCCCACCCAGCCCGGGGAACGGGGGAAGAAGGCGGACATGTTTGAGGGGAAATGTGCTGGTTAAAAAGTATCCAAGTGGAAGACAAAGAAGATTATTGGAAGAAAGGTTTCGCTCTTTTTTGGGGATTTATCAGTCCACATCTGTTTTTGCTTTTATCCAGAGACTTTAAATAGACTTTTTGAAATTTTTTTCGTATATATAACTGTCACTTCAGGGAGTACTTAGTTTTATTTGTAACCCTGACAAAGTAACAATACTAATTGTCTATTACTGCATGAACTGTAAGGAATCTTTCTGTCGGTTATTTGAGTGACATTGTAGGGACTCTGTAACCTTGGTATGGGGGATGGGCCCGAATGATTAGGTAACGTCCTGTGTGCCTTGAATTAGTTTTATTTTAATGAATCTAGGAAGATAAATATTTATTTTTTCAGTGGTAACAACCTGGTTTTGTTAAGAGTTCAAAGTTATTTTCCCGTCCTGCTTTTTCCAGTCTTAGTATGGTTGGGCACAGTAAACCTGTATATAGATTTTAGGTTTTTTATTACTACGACACATTACCACATATTTAATGGATGCTGTGTATTAGTTTCGATTGGTTGTTTTTGGTTTGGGCTGGACTCAGTTTGAAAAATTGCTGTGTCATTCTGTGGGTTGTTGCTGCTATGACCTTGTCAGGGTAGTATTTTATTTCAATTTGATAATTTGAGTTGTTTTACCCGAGGGATATATGATAACTATCTGAATCTGAACTGAAGAGCTAATTTGTCTTTAGTACTTCACTACTTCTAATGTATGTAAGCCACATGGAGGCCTTGTTTGATGGCATTTTTCAGTAAGCTCGTCTGATGCGTTTGCTTTTACTGAAGACAAACTATTATCGTGTTTATAACACTGTGGAGATGTTTTATGTATTCTTTTTCATAGTAAAGCGTCTATCTAGTTGGGATCATTATAACATACTTTGTGTTTCACTGCTCAAAGATGGCGCCCGCCTACATGTTCTAGAACAAACTGATGATTTCACGAGGGAGAGGCTCTCTTCGGGCGGTACTCGTGACTGCTTCGGTGAACCAATAGGAGTGTTGGTCTTCAGACTACAAGCCCGCGTTACGGCCCTTTTAACCAATCACCGTCGTCGTTGTGAACACGTTGACGTAATACAATATGTTAAAGAACAGGGAGGCCCTGTTGCTCTCGTTTTCCGTGAAAGATTGCGTTCGTGAGCCAGTCACAGACGACGCATCAGCAGGACAGGGCGGACTGGACCAATGGTGCTGGGTAATATCCTTGAAGGACAGGGGAAACATGCGAATAGGTTGGTCCTAAACGTTGCTTGCGGATCTCCGACAACCTGTGGGTGTGGTAATTTTAACAGACATCGTGAGTAGCGAATAAGGAGTCGGTGGGCGGAGAAACACAGAGGCAGTTTATCCAATGAGGTGAATGGTTGGTCTATAAAAGCCCGGGTGTAGTCCATCTCGTCGCCATTTCAACGAAGCGATTCAGAGGGATTTCGTCGTGGCGGGCAGCGAAGAAAACTGACGAGCCGAGACGGATCCTGCTTTTGAGTGTTTCCCAAAACAGAATCCGGATCCATCCTGATGGATATGGCTGTTAACCCGCCCCTTGACAGGTATCTATCGGTAGAACTGGCTCTCGTCTTACCATGAAAAGGATTATTTTAACAGATTTTTCCCCCTTTTTTAAATATATCTGTACTGGCTCCCCGTGTGTATTGTTAAACGCTCAGGGGTGAGAGATGGACACTGGACAAAGCACCGGAATGAGTTAATTTATACTTTGAAACAATTATTTATAAATATAAAAGATATACTGGAATATATACAACTTCGCCGGCGCCATCTTCGGGTCTTTGCGGCCGTTGGCTGCTCTCTCCCGCATCTCAGCAGTTGGTGTTAGCATAGCTAGTAGCATTAGCAGGTTCACGGACTAAACTCGTGTTTTATTTATACGTGCTCGGTCAAATACGGTTATAATAGAAGAGCGAAATGTGTAACCGAATGTAGGTTGTTCGATAGGAAGACCGCTACGGAGTACGTGTTTTTTGTTTGTTTTTTTTGTTAGACGTATTGTATAAATATCGGCTGGTTATTCCGTGGTGAAACAGAGTTTCACTGCATACGCCATAACTGAAGCGCTGCTACATCCAAACAATCTGTAGGGCTTCGCCGGCTTGTTGTGGTAGCCATGTGGTCAGATTGTTGTGATGGACAGTGCTGGGTTGTGGGGTTCGACCTAAAAGATGCCAGATATGTAACTTATTCAAACTATTATTAAAACAAATAATTTAGATTGTTCATAGGAATAATTAAAATAAGTCCTGGATCTGTGTCCTGGGGTGGTTTGTGTTTCTGTCCGTTGCCAGGTTACAGAGCTCAGTGTCACTCAGATCACTAAGTGGCGCCATATTTAGTTTACTTAAACTGTCTTTTTTTTCTGTAATGGTTTCATTTTTGTTTTAGTTCAGTTTTAAATGGCAAATTTTTAAATACATTTTTTCAGTAATTTTTTTCAGTAATGTTGCTCTTGTGTAAATGATTCATTCTTTTGCTTTTTTAAATAAAGTACACTAACTGTCAAATGAGTTTCCAGACGTTTATTTGAGATTTTTATATTACCTCAAATGGGTAACGGTATGTTTTTGATGGCCCTTTTCTAAAGGTTATCTCTGAAATTAACGAGCTGAAATTAAATGCCCTAATGTATCTTATGCCCTGGTTTTGCTTGGGGTGTAAACAAACTCCTTGTGAAGAAAAGATTGAGTATTGTGACTTCTATAAGATGGTATCAAGACATGTATGAGTCAGGTCAAATGTTTTCCAGAAGATGACCCCCAATTTGATGGAGTGTTGACTGCACAAGAAGCCACGTGCATTCAGGAGTAAAATGCAAAACGGTGTGATGCCGGTTACATTCATCAGAAAAGACAGGATGACATCTGAAAATATGGTTCATGCAAAAAGATCAAGGCTGAGATTAAAGCAAAGTTCTTGACTTTGCTAATCTTTTCTTGCCTCTTTGTTTTGACAGTCGTCTCTTAAGAGAAATCGGCTTTTATTTTCAATTTTAATCTGCTAAACATATCAAATACTGCAAGTGATATCAAATTTCCTTGCATTTTCTGAGAATTATTACCATATACTACTGAGTCATTCACTAAACAACAAAATTAGGGCTTTGTTAATCTTTAGGAAAAAAAGTTACCAGAAACCAAAACCAGGATGACTTTGCACATTTTTTTTTATAAGTATCTGCTCTGGAAATAAAACATTACTAAACTGAACGATAAAAGAAATTCATGAAAGATTGGAAGTCTATTGTTGGCATGTATTGCCGTGAAATCTTATTGTGGAACACCAACTGCTGCAGCATGCTAATAACCCCACCCACCCTGTTCTGAGGTTTTGTTTTTTTTCCCCCACACAGAAGTGAGTGGGTGGGTGGAGTTAGTCAGTGTTATTGACAGGGAAGTGGGTGCAGACTAGGAAGTGGTGTTCTCATGGTGCCGGTTGGCTGATTTAACGCTTGTATGCTCTGTCAGAATGATGGATGTCTTCTTCATGACATGGAGACTTGCTGTTCTGTAAAATTGGTGGCGCTATGGAGTGGTTGAAGGGGAATAACCAGAACTTACACAATAGCATGCAGTATAAACTATAAGGGAAAATACTTTAATGTTGATCAATTAAAAATATTTTGTTTAATGTCTAAACATTGCAGAATTTGACTAAAGGTTGGTTTTAAGTTTCTATTTTTACTTCTCGTTTCTATTTTTTCTTAATTTCATCCTCCATAGAGTTCACCGGCTCTTGCTTCCTCTTTACAGCACTCATTCTGGGGTTGACCCTGGTTTTACTGGAGTGACAATGGATCAGAGCACTGGTACAGCTGGAAAACGCATCCGGAAGCCCTCACAGCTCTACGAAGGCTTTGAGAGTCCTGGGATGCCCCCCATCAGTCAGCTGACCCCTTTGGGACCGCCCCAGCCCACAGTGAAAGACCCCAGCAGGCAGGGCAGGATGACCAACCAACTCCAGTTCCTGCAGAAAGTTGTCCTCAAGTCCCTGTGGAGGCATCACTTTGCCTGGCCGTTTCATGAACCAGTGGATGCAATCAAGCTCGGCCTGCCTGTAAGTGCAACCGGGACCCTTATTTACAGTCAGTGTAGTTTAAGTAATTTGTCCAAGAGTAGTTTCACTGGTGTAGAAATATTTATTTATAGTTTGAAAGGTGACTGTTTTGATTAAAAGCATGCGTTTCATTCCCAGGATTATCATAAGATCATAAAGAATCCGATGGACATGGGCAGCATCAAGAAGAGATTAGAGAACAACTACTACCGCAGTGCCAGCGAGTGCATGCAGGACTTCAACACCATGTTTACAAACTGCTACATTTACAACAAGGTAAGAACGTCTGAAGGGATGACTCACATTTAAAAAATGGATCTGTAAGAATGTGTAGCAGAAGTCTGCACAGATTAAAAATGATTACTTGATTTTAATATTGTAAGCCAATTTTTCAAAACCTGACACCACACGATGATTGAAAAGTCTTGGGTATAATAGGTCTGGTCGTACAGTGTGTGGTGTTGAGCCACATGAACTGATTTTTACTCTCCAACATTTAGATGTCAGGTAGAAAATCTTGTGAAATTTCTTGAGATTAAATGTGAGTTCAGATTAAACAGATATGACTGACAAGGAAGAAGCACTGTTGATATTTTGTGGTGAAGGTTCAACAGAAAAGAAACAATACAGAGTCTTTTTGTCTTCTGTGTATTTTGGATTTCCCTCCATGTTTCTGTCACCTTGCTTTCTGATTGGCTACATGTCACATTCAACAGGTTGTTTGTTTGTTCGCATGGTAACAAGATCTGAATTTCTAAATTATACATACTATCACAGATTCATTAACCTTGGACTAAAATGAGTCGAGACCTTTTCATCACTGTCTGGAGTGAACTCTTATAGTGCAAACATACAATTAATATTATGCATCATAGGAAGTACTTTGCATAGTAAACCAAATATAAAATGAGACAAATGCAAAGAAATGCTCACTATATGCCCATTTTCTCTATTATGAATATGTTTCAAACAGTGTCAACTGGCATTGTGTAGTTTTTATGGATCATTGAAGTATTTTTAATTGAATTAAGTTTTGTTTCCATCTTTTTCCAGCCAACAGATGACATTGTGCTGATGGCCCAGTCTCTGGAGAAAGCCTTCCTGCAGAAAGTGGCCCAGATGCCCCAAGAGGAGATAGAACTGGCCCCTCCACCTCCACGCAGCAAATCTGCAAAATCATCCAAAAAAGCCAGAAACAATCCAGGTGAGGATGGAAACTGCAGTTAAAACATTCAGGCTTCATGAATCTGAGGGTCTGGATGAAGTTTAATAACTTCCTGTATCTTCCAGTTCCAGGTGGAGTGACGACAGCCCATCAAGTTCCAGCCGTCTCCCAGTCTGCGTATTCTCCTCCCACTCCAGAAACGCCTGACTCCATCCTGTCCACCCCCCCACAGACTATTTTATCCAAGAGCATTACCTTCCCCTCTGAGCACAGCATCCCCTCCATCACCAGCATGCCCCCCACACAGCCCACTGCAAAGGTAACGCTAGCTGCATCTTTAGCTGCATCTCTATAAGAAATGTGCGCAAATCTTGGTCTATATTCTGCTAATGTCTAAATAACACAATTTTGTAATTGCTGTGTTTCCATTAAGTAAGAAATGAAATTAAAATCGTGCATAAGCTTGTTGACACGATAAGTCATTAAAAATTATGGCAGGAGATATTAACGTTTTATTCAGGTGTTAGTGATGGGCCTCTTATACTTGGGAGCGGCTACGTTTGCGCCATTTTGTAGAAATTTTAGTTGCTGATTTCGCAGAAGAGCTACGGATTCAACACATTGGAACGACACACATCTTGTTATGAACTGTGTGAAGCTGTGAGAGCTCTGGAGGAACCAGCGGCACACTGTCCAAAAAAGACAAACCACCGTCTTCCTACCACTTCCTGTCATATTTTTCATCCTTTTGCCTGCAGTGACCTCCAGCTGTTGATCATGTGACTCTTGTAATGTAAAAACGTGTTTTGATGAGGTTGAGAAATATCATTCTAGTGCAAAAACATTCGTTTTTTTCTAAGTTGGAGTGTTTCCATTAAGTAAATTTATTTACTTATTTACAATTTGCACATTTTTTGCGGTTCATGGAAACACAGCTACTGTGTGTTTACATCACAAAGCTCGGGGGCGGAGCTCTGACCCAAACTGTCGCCATCTTCTCTCCGCTACAGAAAAAAGGTGTGAAGAGGAAAGCGGACACGACCACTCCGACCACGATGGCCATGCCCATCATGAGCACCATGGGCGTCAGCGGGATCGGCCTGGGGATGGGCGGCGGCCTGGACTCGCCGCTGACCCTCACCTCTCTGGGCATGGAGCACAGTGGCGGTCTGGGCATGACCCCAGGCCTGGGTCTGGGCCAGGGCATGGTGATGAGCATGGAGATGGCTCATGGGGGAATGATGATGGGGAACAAAGGCACAGCGGCGAGCAGGAGAGGCGTGAGCGGCCGGCCCATCAAGCCTCCCAAGAAGGACTTACCGGACTCCATCCTGCCGACGCCGGTGCGCCGCAGCAAGCTGACACCGCAGCTGCGCTACTGCAGCAACGTCCTGAAGGAGCTGCTGTCCAAGAAGCACGCCGCGTACGCCTGGCCATTCTATAAGCCCGTCGACGCCATGTCGCTGGGTCTCCATGACTACCACGACATCATCAAGCAGCCCATGGACCTGAGCACCATCAAGGTACGGCGGTTCCCCCTACAGCCGACTGTGTTTCTATCAGACAGGAAGTGGAGCTGAACCTGTTTGTTTCTGCAGAGGAAGATGGACAGCAGGGAGTACAGAGACGCCCAGCAGTTCTCCGCCGACGTCCGACTCATGTTCTCCAACTGCTACAAGTACAACCCTCCAGACCACGACGTGGTCGCCATGGCCAGAAAACTCCAGGTGACACCACTCTGTTTGCTTTAGATACGAGTAAAACAAAGTTCAACATATAAGAGCAGTAAAAAAAGTGACACGTTGAAAACAAAAGAAATTATGTCTTGCAGATCTGATAAAAATCATATGAGATAAAATAATAAAAACTATTAAATGAAGTAAAGGAATTACTAAACAGAAAGGCCTAATATGTTTCATGTAAATCACTGATTATTCCGTATCTGACATATTGTGAGGGACATCGGCTGTAAAACGTATAGATTTGATTTTTCTTCTACAGAAGAGAGCAGTTAGTCATTAGCAGACGTTGATACAGAGATAAAAAAATCAATATTTATACAGTTACGCTTATTGAAACTTAATGAATTTATTAGTACAATATTTTACAATTTATGTACAAAGTGCATTTTTTTGTTACCAAATTATATACAAAACAAATTTGTAAAATGAGAAAGCAAATAAAAAAAATAGTTTCAGAACAGCTACGATATAAAGATGCATTTCAATTAAAGGTCAGTTCTAACTTTTTTCTGCATTTAAAAGAAATCCGAAAATCATTATGATGAAATAATAAGGCATTGAATAAGCAGATTTTTTTTCTTTTAATGTGTATTTGAAATGCGTCTCAGTTTTCTGAGTTGAATAACTAGTTTTCTCTTTATGCTAAGAGGAGGCAGATAAGATGAGTTTATACTTTCTGCTCCTATTCATAATTTTTTTAGTTGTTGCATAAACTTCATATTTATTGAGTAAATGAAATAAAAAAATGAAATGTAAATAAAATGAAACATCTGCTTTCGGCTGCAGGTAGATTTGTTTTGAAGAGGCATAACTTCCCTCTAACATAGCTAAGCTGGCAGCTAAAAAATTAGTTTTTTTCTTATTAAAATATTTACTAACCGGTTTTTATTCCGTCTTCCAGGACGTGTTTGAGTTCTGCTTCGCTAAGATGCCCGACGAGCCTCCAGCACCTCCCACATCCTCGTCTTCCTCCACTTCCTGCTCGTCTTCCTCATCTGAGAGCGATTTCAGCAGCGACAGCGAGGAGAGCGACAGCAGCCTGAGCTCCGACTCTGAGGAGGAGCGGGCCAACCGGCTGGCCGAGCTGCAGGAGCAGGTTGGTTCTGGTCCAGAAGGTTCTGCATATACAACCATAACAAAACCTATGATGGAGACGGATGGGGTTGTTGCCATACAAATGTTAAATTATACTTGGTTAATTATGGATTTGATGCATTAGCTCCTTCCATCTACTTTACATTAATGTATTTATGTAATTTACAGCGCGACACTAGCAGCATTTATTCCATTACTTTTAGTTCTGGCTGGAGATCGCTGCTTTTCTTGCTCTGATAAAACGGCAAGGCTGAGACCTTGACTCTGCTTTTGATTCTGGGATGTTTTTAAATGTTCATATCTTATGTTTAATGTGAATAAAGTTGTTTTTGGATGTCATGACGTCTTAAATTTGAGTAAAACCCTTTCACTGAGTAATTAAAATCTGTTCCTGGCCCTGACGTTAAATTATTTTGTTTTCCAGCTGAAGGCTGTACACGAGCAGCTCACCGCTCTCTCTCAGGGTCCCATCGTCAAACCCAAGAAGAAGAAGGAAAAGAAGGACAAGAAAAAGAAGAAGAAAGTAGAGAAACATCGGAGGATGGATGAGGAGATCGTCTCTGTGAAACCGCCCAAAACCCCCAAGATGTCCAAGTCTTCAAAGACGACAAAGAGCAACAAAGGCATCAGCTGTCCTGTCATACCAGTGAAGAAGACTCAGAGCAAGAAAACCAACAAGAGCAAGTGAGTACTGCCCCCTGGTGGACAGTTTAAACTGAATGCTGTATTGTTACAAACCTCCGTCTGTCCTTCTGCTCCATCAGATCCAAAAAGACCAACATGATGTTCAGCGTGTCCCAGCCGATGCACGACCCTCTGGTCAGCCATTTTGACTCTGATGAGGAGGAGGACACGGTTCCCATGTCGTACGACGAGAAGCGCCAGCTGAGCCTGGACATCAACAAGCTGCCCGGCGAGAAGCTGGGCCGCGTTGTTTACATCATCCAGTCCAGAGAGCCGTCGCTGAGGGACACCAACCCTGAGGAGATCGAGATCGACTTCGAGACGCTGAAGCCGTCGACGCTCAGGGAGCTGGAGCGATACGTCATGACGTGTCTGAGGAAGAAACCTCGCAAGCCGTACGGTGAGCGGAAACACGGACAGTCTGACACCGACATTTTGATCTAGCTGTGAATTCTAAGCACTTGAATTTCTCACAACACATTTAAAGATAAAAGTTTTTTCATTTTAAATGCAAAATATATATTTTTTTACAGTTAAGTCTTAGTTACGGTTCTGAATGTTTGTTCAGCAAAAGGCCTGTTTTAGAATTGGTGTACTCCAGCAGCAAATGATTAATTGATTACTAAATTGATTTTGGTTTCAGCCGTAATTTTCTAACATTTCTCGTCTTTGTGCAGCGAGTAAAAAGAACAGCGCCGGAAAGACGCGGGAGGAGCTGGCGATGGAGAAGCAGATGGAGCTGGAGAGACGACTGATGGACGTCAGCGGTCAGCTCAACTCCGGGAAGAAACCGTCTAAGACCAAAAGTAAGTTGAACTTCGTTTATCGTTTTGTCTCTGGAAATAAGATTTCTGAAAATTCTGACTCCATGTCGCCTGATCTTACTTGAAACAGATCATTTCATTTATGAGCTTCTTCTCTGTTAAACTGATATGTTTTTCCTCCAGATGATAAACCTGCGTCAGACGTTCACGCTCAGCCGTCTCGCCTCAGCGCCAGCAGCTCCTCCTCGGACTCCTCCTCTTCCTCCTCCTCTTCGTCATCCTCCGACACAAGCGAATCGGATTCCGGTTGAATCCGAGTCGCTCAGACTGTTTCCAAACCAAAAGGGTCCGGTGACGGCGCCCTGGTGTCCTCCTCCCCTCCAAGCGGGCTGATGGAGGACGGGTCAAGGCCGGCCCACCGGGTCCGGACAGAGATGGGCTCTCCCTGCGCTCGGCTCCATCCGGCAGCCCTGAACATTTCCCGGCAGATGAATGTGAGCGGAGGAGAGCGACTGGAGCGACCTGCTGGCTCCGGGCGGAGCGACAGGAAGCTCCATCTCCTGCTGATGAAGATTGATGCATACGTTGGAGGGATTAGGGTGCTACAGCCAGAATATCTGCATTTTCTGGATTTTTTTTCCCTTCTTACCATGCTCCATGTCTTTATGCTGTATAGAGAACATGTACAGATGTATAAATATCTATTTTTCTTTTATAAAGAAGCCTTTTATGGAGCTTATTTATTCCCTCATTCTGGGAAAAGATTAAACTGGCGTGAACAGAGCTGTGTGTTTAGATTTTCTTTTTGAGTGATAAGAGGGGAGTTAGGTTTTTGTATGAATGTATGATGTGTGTGTTTGCATGTGTGTGTGAAAGATCTGGCACCACAAGTGCATCCTGGTGAAGTTCCTCATAGTTTAGAAGCAGACGCTGCGCTCGCTCTGCACGCAGAAGCACCTTGGTTCAGCAGAAAACAGCCTGCATGCAACAGAGGAGCTGACGGCCTCGCTGCGTCTCCAGCCGGTCGCTGTACAGAAACTAAACGTGTCATAGTTTCAATATTTCTGTTCCCATGTCGACTGTTTGTTTTCTCCATGTATTACAAGTTCTCTGTAAACATGTTGCTTTTTTGTTCTTCGTGACCAATCTGCTAATAAATTGTGAGGACTTGTCTTGTCGACTCACCTGTGCCCAAATAACTTCTGGATCCTTTTCATTTCTTCACCTCAGTTACAGATTTAATCTGATCTCTTACAGGTTTGTTGTCAGTAGAATCTAAAATCTCTGTGTTCTTGCAGCTGAATCTTGTTTACTTTGTGTGACAAAATCAGTTACTGGAATCAGGAGGTATTGTAAAGATGCATTGTTTATGTTGACAGTTCCACAAAGCATTTTATAATTCATTGCATCTTGGTTTTCTGTTTGGTTTCAGATTGAAATAGTGTCTAAGTTATTTAGAGTAAATATGGATATTATTGAAAGGGTTTAGTCTACTGAAATATGCACATTCAGAGTAATAAAGGTGTACATATTTTACAGAGTCAAAACCTTGGAGTGTGGTTTTCCTTTATGGTCTGATTTTTTTTATTTGCTACTGTTTGGCTCCAGTTGTGACATTTAAAACTCTACATGTCAGTCTTGCTCTGAAGTTTGTCAGAAATCTTAATGCCTCTGCTTGTTCTGAACATTTGTACATAAATAAATGCATCATTTCACTGTTTGGATCATTCTGTCTTATTTAACTACTTCAGGTTAAAATATTTCATTTTGTCTTGATACTTCATTTGAAAATTCGCTACACCTGTATTTTTAATGAATACACTGAATTTTATAAACTAAATAACTTACGCAATTAGTTTGACGCCATCTAGTGGATAAAATACGAAATGTAATTTTGACTTTAGTTACACTTAAAACTTCAATGTGTCCTGATTCACATTATTCGGTAGATTTTTGGATGTTTTTAGTCGTAAGGGCAAAGGTTAACACAGACAGAAAATATTTTATTTTGAACAAACAAAAGGTAAATAAAGAAAAAAATCTAATTATTATGCCAATTGACATGCAATTTTACATAATTTGCTCGAAAACGAGCAAGTAGAAGACATGAGATCTTATGATTTCCTGTTTTTAAGATGCTTTATATTTGTACTTTGTTTAAGCTCGTCATTTAGAATCCATTCCATAAATCTACACACACTGATACACAGAAAGTCTTTTTATTTCTTCTGATACATAGTTTTTTTTTATTTGAGATTTAATATGTAATAGTTTGAAACTTATCTAATATTAAAAATAGGACGTTTTGTTGGATTTTTAAAATATTGTACAGTTGAAATGTGAAATTTTCCAGAAAAAATAAAAGTTCACCGCTCCCTTGTGGTCACATAGAGGAATTGCAGCCCTTTCAGATCAGGAGTCCAAAATGAATTTTTGGAGAGACAACTAGAAAAAAATCAACCGAAACTGATCATGAGTTTAAACATTTCTAGAGCTGGTCACAAAATAAAATAAAATAAAATAAAATGAAATAAAATAAATAAATAAATAAATAATAATAATCAGTAAAGAAATAACAGAGGATAACAACAAATATTACATTATAGCGATCATTTTCTAGGGTTAGTGTGATCTCTTGTAACAAACAAATAAAAAAACATATTATTACTATATTTTAATTGGATGTATGTCTTCATATACTTTCATCGCTGTGAAAGTTAACTTTAGCGTGATTTTAAACATTTAACTGTGTAAAGACGGCTTAGTTTTTGGTGTTTATTAAACATTCATAGCTAATCTGTCCTTTTTCAATGTGTTAATCTCATCTGTTTGAATATTTTCAACATATATTTTTATTGTAGAATTTCATGGATTGGAATCCGGGGTTTCGGTCTTACTTCCTGTTTGCTGCTTCAAAATAAAACACTGACGGGTGTGACGTCGTTCATCTGTATTTCCTTTATTTAAAAACTAGCAAGCAAAGATTTCGCATTAGATTTGTGTTTACACTCTATGCTGCGTCTTATCAGACGAAGATGGTTTAAGAAACTAATGCATTTACGATTTTTGAAAAAATAGATTTAAATAAATCACTGGGCGTTGATTATCTGTGAAATATATTTTTCTGTTAACTGTAAGTGAAAACCTGATAGTTTACTTAGCCTTTGAAAGCTTACTGTGGCCTTATATAAATAAAGATGACAAAAATAGAAATAGGATAAAAGTCACAACCTCGGACGGGTATTTTTCGCCCACTGACGGACAAACGGAAAACTACAATAACACAGAAAACCGTCATGGCGGCGCCCATGAGGCTGATATCAAGGTTGACTCTGGTCACTGGTTAGTCTACATTTGGTCTACATTTAGTAACTCCGCTGCTACATTAAATACCCAGCCATATTCCGGGTTGTTTTATGTAATTCCTTAAATAAAATGTTGTGTATATTTTAATATTTTAGCATCTACTAAAGTCAAACATGAACTCCGAACTCGGTGAAAGTTTGGAGCACTAAAAACATTTTGTAGCGATTAAAAAACTTATTAGATGCCGTCTGTGAGTTCAGTTTAAATTCAATGTTATTTTACTGTACAAAATTTCCATCGCAGTCAGGAATGTTTACATCTAGAGATTTGAACATACATATAAAAAAACTCATCTATTCTTGAAGTTGAAGTTGGAGATTTAAGCAATGATCGCTCGTTTTTTGCTTGAGTACAAATAACTCAATTGGTGACGTAATCAGCTCTGAATAAATTAAGCATCATTTTGTGTCCTTTTGTTTTAACTTTTCTTTTTCCAGTTTGCAGAAAATGCAGTCAAAGTAAAAAATAACTTCCTTTAAAAAAGTTGTTGAATGTGGATTTATACAGCAGAATATGATATGAATTGTTAAAGAGAGACGGATCTTGACTTAAATTGGACTTTTAGCCCAGTTTAATGTGTATCTGAAAAAGAAAATATTAATTGAATATCTAAAAAATGAGTGGATTAAAAAACATGAAAGAATCTGATACTCCAATCAGAAATAAAATAAAAACAGCACTAGGTTATGTGAATACAACTGATGCACATTAAACAGCATTAATCTCATTTTCTGTTTGGGTAGGATTCAAAGAAGGAAATTGTGCAGTTTGAAAAGTAGAAATGATGTGACACTCTGGGAGAAATCTGCTCCTCTCTGAGGTCCCTCGTCTCTCTCAGGTTTACATCCGTCTGTTCTGCTCAGATTCCTCTCTGACCTTCTGCCCCTCTGTTCCCAGGTGGAGGCAGCGGGATTGGACGCGCCGTGTCTCAACGCCTGGCCTCTGAAGGCGCCTCAGTGGTGGTCGCTGACATCAGCGAGGATTCAGCCAATGAGACGGTGGGACGCCTGCAGAGTGACCTCAAAGGTCAGAGTCACATGGCGGCTGCAGTGGACGTGTCGTCAAAGGAGAGCGTGAAGAAGCTGCTGACGAGAATCCAGGTGTGAAGATCATCTCTTCTCTATGGAGCAAGATTAGTGGCAAAGTTTGAGGTTCTCTATATTATCAAGATAGTTTCTTCTGTTTTTAATTTTTTATTACAAATTTCAATGTATAAACAAATTCCCATGCTAGACTTGAGGAAAAAAGAAAGTAGTTTTCAGATATTTATTTAATTTGTTAAGAAAAACGCTAAGCAAACCAACCTGGTCCTGGATGCAAAGGTAATTGCTCCCTTACTAAATTATTAAATAACTGTGAATAATTACATTCTGATTTTGAATTCAGTTCCTCAAGTCACACGGGCCTGATTTCTGTCATATGTTTAAAATCAAGAAATCCCTCATACAGAGCCTATCTGACATCATGAAGTAAGTTTAAAGAATATTAACACATCATGACTCCATCTGAAGGAAATCTAGTAGAAATTAATACAAAACTCAATGAAATCTATCATATTGGAAATCTTTTAATGGAGAAAACATGGAGCAGATGTGATATTTGTAGGACCAGTGTGAGTCTAAATAGTCGGGGTTAATTAAGTCAGATCTCTCAAAGAAAACCTGGTTATGGTGATGCTGCTTCACGATGCTGGTTGTTGGTTCCTGCAGGGAGTTTTGTGCATTTTCATCTTTTTTCATAAATAATCTGTCTTTCTTTCTGCAGACTCGGTACTTCCAGCCTCCCTCGGTGTGTGTGAACTCTGCAGGCATCACTCAGGACGACTTCCTGCTCAACATGGAGGAGGAGAAGTTCGACAGAGTCATCCAGGTCAACCTGAAGGTAACACACCTGTCAGACTGCAAACCAAACTACAACAAAGATGGAACACATAAAAACATGTTTGGATGCTTTTAACGATACAATAAAATGAGAATAAAGTAACATTTCCACAGATGTTTACACATAATGAACAACATATCTGTCATTTATTTGAATAGTTTACGTATTGAATGATTGATTAAATGTTTTTCTGTCTTTTCCAGGGGTCGTTCTTGGTGACCCAGGCTGTGGCTCAGGCTCTGGTTGCCTGTGGATCTCCTAAAGGATCCATCATTACTCTGGGCAGCATCGTAGGAAAAGTCAGACTCCATCTTTTATTTTTAGTCTCTGTGGTTTTTTAAGCATCTAAATAAAAACATAAAAACTAGACCCAAATCTGAGCTCTGATTCAAAATGTGATTTTCTGATGTTGCAGGTGGGAAACCTGGGCCAGGCGAACTACGCTGCATCTAAAGCCGGAGTCGAAGGTTTGACCAGGACGGCTGCTAAGGAGCTGAGCAGGTCAGAGGATCTGCTGCTGCTGCAGGAACAACCAGAGATAAAAACACTGACATGTTTCATCCCCTCCAGGTTTGGGATTCGTTGTAACTGCGTGTTGCCTGGTTTCATTACCACTCCCATGACGGACGAAGTGCCAGAGAAGGTCCTAGTCAAAGTAAAGAAGCACAGACACTTACAGTCGGCCTGAAACAGAAAACAAGAGTTTCAGCTGATATGACTGAATTATTATCCTATTAATACTTATTACACTTTAT